CTTCCCCAAATTTGATCAGGATCACTTTAAAGCATTTTTTTTTATATAATGGGTTTGTTTGTAATTAAGCGCAAAGCTACAAAATGGACTATCTATGCTCTGCCCACCACGGGTATTGAAACCCGGTTTCTAGCATTGTTAAGTCCGAAAACATACTGCTGTGCCACTGAGGGGCTTTTATAATGGGGAGACAGAGCATTTTCGCGGTTTTGGGTTAATAACTGTAAAGAGTGATCGGATTTATACCGAATTTCATAGGCACATTAAGGTTGAGAATCCTCGTCACGCTACAAAAAAAAAAAAAGATCCGGGTCGTTGATCACTCTGGATCTGAGAAGGATTTTCTGAGTTTTCGAAGGTGCAATTTGACGTTATCCAATATAAACGCATGTAATCTGAAAAAGGAGCAGCGGGGCGAGGGTATGGAATCTTCTTAGTTGCAACTCTTTCAACATGAGTTTTTTAAACTTGTATATTATTATCACCAGAAGGTAATGTATTATGTATACCTAATGTAATAGAAATGATAAAGAGAAACGTTCCTTAACAAATTGTATATTCCTGATACATTACATTTTATTATTCAGCGTGAAGAAGTAAGCTTGCGTCGTGTGTAATTGATGAATTTCAAGTACGGACCACCAGTCAGAAATTCGTGAGGAAGAAAGGCATCGTATATCCATCCCTATTCATCGTGCTTGTTTATAACACGGAGAAAAACGTTGTATATAATGAAATGAATAGCATTTTCAAACACGACTGATCAGTTTTCGGTTGGCTAAGATAAAGTTGAAACTGGAACGTAAACATCTTATGTTTTCATCGGTTCAGTGATACTGTCTAAAAAAAATCTGTGCTTTGCCTAAGAAAGCTCTCTGGTGTAGTGTTTTTTGAAACTGGTTTTGACTTCCAGTATGCTCCCTCTCAAGGACCCAGCAATTGCTGGAAGTTCGAGTGAAAGAGGGGGGGGGGGGCAAAGGACCTGACAAATTTAAGTATTGCCGATAAGGGAGATAAATGTGAGGTGTCTAATAACTTTTTATGGGGGGGACATCTTTTGTGTTTAACGCTACTGTGGATGTGGATTTTGTACCGATGTCGAGATGGGTTTTGTGTTGATGTTGACAAGAACTGCAGCTACAAATAAAACACCAGTCTAAGTGACTGACAGTTGTATATAATACGGTTGTTGTACAAAAAAATAAATCTGCAGAACTGCTTTTTGTGTTTTCAGAAAACGTACTGGAAAAGTAGAATCCCCGAGATCATGCAAAAAAAAAACTCACTAAGTCCGACTTGCAGCGAGTGACTATCTATTTAAGCTCTGAAAAGAAAAAAAACGCCTGTTTCTATTGGGTTTTGATGCGCGGTCCTGTGACAGAGCTCAGGATTTTGGAGCTGATGAGTCGAATCCGTGCAACATCATTCACTCCACTGCTGTAAGAAGAATGACGGTCAATCCTCAGCGTGTATAGTTGGTTGGTGGTAGGGTTCTGTTGACTGGCTCGCTTCCTCTTGTCGGTAGTTCAAAATTATGAACAGACATAGATAACCTTAGTAACTTTGCCAAAACTATAAATATCAACGGTTTATGGTGGAGAAGCTTACTATAGATAAAAAAAAAAATGCAGGTATTTATATAGATAGTCAAAAGAATAGATAGATGGAGATAGAGAGAGAGAAAAAGATTGAATTACAGATAAAAAAAAATTCTGAGCACCCGATGTAGTGTTCTATCTAGGAAAGATTTAGGCTTAGTTTTTACAAACTTTTTTGTTGTTGTTAGGCCTAGTTTTTACATTTTTTGTTTTAATATAATCATTATTCTAGACAGAACTAATCTTAATTTTTAATACTTTTTTATCATAAAAAAAGATTTCACATTGCTAGCCTAGATTAGGGTTATCCTAAATTTACTAAGGTGGCAGAGCTAAATATAACATTTACCACATTGAAACGTTGTGAATAAAATATGTACAACCGATAAAAACTTGTGTGAAGAATAAACCATTACATTGAATGGGAATCTAATTATCCATTACACAGAAATAAAACTGAATATGTAGAAACAAATTTATTATACTAATTCCTTTTGTAATATAATAGAACCCGAAAAAAGGATTTAAATGTTCTTTTCCAAATCGCTTCATCTTTAGTTTCTCACTCTAGATGTCGTTGTCATATTACCGTACAAATATTATAACCAGTATCGTTTTGCTTATTCCACTTCGATACAGCTGTAATGTAATAGAAATCTAAACGGGTTGATTCTATTCGGAAACACTCTGAGCAATAGTAAAGAAAAAGGCTACTGAATTTTGTTTACAGATTTGTTTGTTTTTGTAATTTAATGCACGTTTTGTCTGCACATCCAAACAAACTAGAGTTACGTCAGAAATTCTTTTTTTACCTTCAAAAACCTATTTCAATTTATCTGCGCACCTTTTTTTGTTTCAAAAACCTATATCTAGTTTATCTGCGCACTTTTTTTGTTTCAAAAACCTATATCCATTTATCTGCGCACTTTTTTTTTGTTTCAAAAACCTATATCCATTTATCTGCGCACTTTTTTTTGTTTCAAAACCTATATC